TGTCAATTCATTTGTGTGTCTAGGAACAAGATCGAACGTCAGTTGGAAGAGTATGAACGAGAACAGCAACAAAGTGCTCCTTACGTTGAACAGTTTGCCATGTTATCCAGTGAAAAGGTACGTTTACGTAACAACGCAACTACAGCAGTACGAATACCACAGCGTTATGTTAACGCAACGACAGTATGGAGTTAAACTGTGCAGCTAAAAACAACGTACGTTAGCGCAGCGACTCCGCAGCGACAGCAATACATTGACACAATGACAGCAGTACGTTAACGTAACAACAGCAGTACGTTAACTTAACACAGCAGTACGTTAACGTAACAACAGCAGTACGTTAACGTAACAACAGCAGTACGTTAACGCAACAACAGCAGTACGTTGACGTAACGACTCAACGACAACGATACGTTAAGGCAGAGTCAGCACCACGTTAACGCCTTGGCATTACGCATTAATGGATGTTAAAACTTTATTCCGTAGGAAAGTCTACTGTTGCTGCACAAGAACTTGAAGAGGGATTTAGAGCATCTTCGACGAGCAAGAATAGCTTTTTAACAAACTATTTCATTATGAAAAATCGAATAACAAAACAATTCACTTTGATCCTTGAAATGTGACTGCAAAGTAATAATTGGTTAATTTAACTTAATAACCGCAAAAGTACGTCACCCGCCGTTCCCGTCTCTACGTTCAGTTATACAGTATAAACAGAACTTCATCCCCCACCCCCTCCCCTCTAGATCACTCCTTTCCCCTAGACCCCTTAGATTGAGCCATTGTGTATATATGATTAGTAGTTAAACACTAAACGGGTATGACAACATGGAAGTGTATAAAGATGTTTTGACTCACAAAAGATGTTTGTAACAAACGTAATTTTTTTGAACATCTTGAAAACTGCTTTATATTACATTAAAAAAAACAGTAGATGATGTGTATTTGATGGCAGGAAACAGGAAGGGCACTTTGTTGAAGGGCATTTTTAACCGAATATTGTCATCAACAAGTTTAGGAAACTCTCGACTTCCCCTTTAGTGTTTAATGCAATTGACATTGCAAAAGGTAAAAGATAAGATAGATGATTTATATTACAACAGAAGGAAAGAATGAGTACAAAAGACATGCACACTTAAAGACTCTTAAAAGTGAGCATATTTCATGCATATGCAAGTTTTTTTCGTTCGTTCATTCGTTTTTCCACGTTCTCGTTCATTCGTTCGATTGGTTCGTTCATTTGATAATTCCTTCCATTCAATACTATTCCTTCCATTTGATCATTCCTTCCATTCGATCGTTCCCTTCAAGTGTTGCTTTCATTTGATCGATAGCTAGTCCATTCTGATTGCTCGTCCATTGCAGCATAATTTTTCGATTTGCCCCCAGTTGTGATTTATTTACCAATACAGCCTGCCCCTCACAAACGAGGATTAATGGGATTAATGGTGATGAAAGGAGACTCCGTGCGATTGTACAGTATTAACAAGTAGGAGCTTAGCTGGAGTACTACCGTGACAGGTGCTACATCAAAGCAAGATCTCAGCACAATATACACGTTACACTTTGAACTTGATTCTCAATAGATTAGAGTACGTGAAAGACTTGATAATTTTGCACTGCAACAGAAGTCACAGGATGTTGTTGTTGCACAATTTGTTAGCAAAATATTTATAGTTAAAGAACTTTGTCATCACCGAGTTTAAGTTTCAGTCTTTGTGTTGCTGATTTTCTCTTCTTTCTTCCTTTCCCTTTCTTTTTTACAACTTCATCGTTTTTCGTTTACTCTTCCCCTTTATCGTTATCATTACATATCTGGTTATCGTATTTCGAATTAACCATGATTCTGTTTCGTGCGAAAATTAAAATCATTACTGTTATTAAGATTAAAAAAAATCATTACCAAAAAAACACTATACTGTAAATCAATTACATCTCAGGCACTTCTGACTCTTTTCATTTACATCAAAGACACAGTGACAATCACTAAATAAACAAACCATCTCAATATTCACCTGTTCTCTTGTGTACCTAGTGTTTGCCCACTGGCCCTGAACAACGTCGACGTCTAATACCCTTCGCAACGAGCATCTTATATTATAACTACATCTAAAAGCTGAAAAACAGTTATTAGTTTCACTGTTAAGAAGGTAAGCCAGTAATGATCGTTGCATGCCGTACCAATAAGCTGATTCGTCAAAGATTTGATATCTGTTTTTTCTGCAATGGATGATCGCAACGCTGGAAACCTCTTGGAACTGAGCATTTTTTTTCTCCCGCAATGTTAATTGACTCGTTGAGAAAACACTTTAGGAACTCTCTCTCTTATTCTCTCTTATTTAAATGCATTAGTAACAAGATAAAAAAATAAAAAACACCCTCCTCTCTACATTTTAAGCTGTCTGCCGCTAATTCCAGCCCTTCAAAGCAATCTCTTTTTCCCTCTTTTTCATTTGTTCACCTTCACCTTCCGTTTTCTCTTTTATTGCTTTAAGATTAAATATCGACTCAAAAATCAAATAAAGTTCCCGTTATCGGAACTCTCTCTTCATAGTATTTGCTTTTGTTGTGTTTTTAAGATGATAAATGCACAACACCGGCCCTTGAAAAGGTAGCGTCACGTCGTTCAGGGATCGTGGTATCCAAGAAACTGTAGATGATCCATTTGAATAGGAAATATTCCCTTTATTTTCATTTTCAATCTTCCTTTTTCCGTTCATTCCCGCTGTCCTCGTCATTTCGGGTTCTTTTATTCTTAGTTTCAAGAAATTTTGTGATGTAACTTCTTTTTTACTTTCTTCTATTCTTCCTTCACATTTTCGACTGAAATTTGTCCTACTTTTCATTTTCTTTTCTCGCGAGTACAATATTTAAACAGATACTTTCCGGACTCGTTCCGTTCGCCCAATATTACAAACACCAAAGTCATTGCAAATTGGTCCAATCTTTTGTTTCTCCATGGTAAATTATCATGACATAATTGCAARAGCGAATTTGGTTGACGTGTCGATTCACCGTATTGAAACACGAAAAAGTCCTTTAAGCTTACCATATATTTCATTTATACATAAAATCGTTTTGATTGAAAAACTAATTATGGTCTTACGGTTGGAACTGGTATCCTTTCTCGATCTATGAAATTAATTAGTGTGTAGTCGATACCACATGACGGGCGACATCGATCAACACCAACAGACAGCTGCATCATTTTGCCTGTGTGCAATTTTTATCCCAACGAGCAGTGGAAGAGCAATATTGTTGTTAAAATGCTGGTAATGGCTAGAAATGTATACCGGCYGCCAAGTCATCTTATTGAGAACACGAGTCAGGCCCGTACCAGTAGTAAATGTACCAGCAGTTATGCTCATATATCGACTTTTATTGCATTTGCAAAAAGGCATAATCTAATAATTGTTTTATTGTGGCAAATAAGCCTTTAAACAATATCACACAGTAAAATATCATCCATAATTATGTAATCGTACTTGTCAACAGAATACTCCAATTTCGAGTTCTGGTTTGCTYTGTGTTAGCCTCAAAACCAAGTAACATATTCTTTTGTTTCATTGATAGCTGAAAAATACGCATGGAATTTGAGAAGAAAGACAATAAAATTGATTTGAAATCTCACACTTTTACGCTCACACTAAGTAATATTTTGCGCACAAATGAGGCTAACACAGAGCATTGTAGAATTCGAAACTGGAATATTCAGCTCCGTGTTGAYTTTGATGCTTRGCTCACGCTGAATTTGCAAAACAATTGTATCCTSTTTACCATCTAGGACACGGATGTTTTGAGTTTGCAAACATTCATGTCTAGGTCATTCACATCAAATTTAAAAAAATAATAGTTTCCCCCACTGCTATTCAACTCGCTTCAGGGATTCCTGTGTTACTTTCAAAAAGCAATGTAAGGTGGAGAGAGTAAGAATGTTCAGCTCTCCTTTCTCAGTTCTCTTTCTCTTAGTCAAGCCATCTTAGCACATGTCCTTCTAATGATTTTATATATTTTTGTGGTCATAAGTCCATTTCTTTTACAGGGAGAATGTTCGTCAACAACTCAACTCTTTCAAAGCAAATGGTTTTGTTCAAAGGGTGCAGAGACGGGAGCAGTGTTTCACAAATCGTACTCACCACCATCATCATCATTATGTCAATCATTAGTAACGGTGCAATCTGTTGTCTTTTGGTTCGTTTTCGCAGTCTTCGAACCGTTCCCAACATCCTAGTTGCAAACTTGGCTTTCATCGATGTTATCAATGCTATTACTAACATGCCCCTGTTTATTATGTGGTACTTGTGTCAAGTCCGTTTCCTAACTGGACCAGCGGTTTCTTGGATTATAGTGACGTGGTATGTAGACATTATCTGGATTGGTAATAATTCCAGGAAGATATCACCTAATGCATGCATTTGCTTAAGAACTTTGATACAAATTTCTCTTCTAGTCAGTTGTCTCATAATCATGTCATATAAGGCACTAGTCTGACATTAAATACGGATTTGACGGATTAGCAACACTAATTACTGCAATGAAAATAATATAGTTCATGATAATCACACCATGTAATTCCGTTCCAGGTACGTATTGTTCATGTATCTCACTGTAACATCGCTAGTGGTTCTTATGTTAGACCGTTATGGTGCCATAGTGCACGGCTTGAAGTACCATACGTGGAAGACRAAGAATAAAGCTGCTTTCGCTGTTATTGTAATCTGGTTGATAGCAATGTCATACACATTGGGGATGTTTAGTTTGGGAGTTTCCATTGATGTCGGTAACATGCCAGTTTGGATTTATCGCATTTATTACTTTAAGAATTTCGGCCGTTCATTTTTAATCCCAGGTCAACTCATCCCTTTCGCTTTCATGGTTATACTGGGTTTCCTTATTTGGCGAAAGGTRCGCGTAAGCACTCGTGCTATAGCACCGCAAAGTAATGTGGGTAAAAGAGTTAGAAGTGACGTCCAGACCGCAAAGACTCTTGCAATAACTATATTGGCGTATTTTTTGATGGGTTGCTTCCCAGTCCTTCTCCATAGCATCGCAAAACTTCATGGTTCGTGGATTCATTTTTCAGCGTTTTTCTTCACGTTTTTGAACAGTATGGCAAACCCGGTGATCTATTCACTACGTACGAGACGGTTCCGTGCTGCGTTGCTGCTGCTCTTACGGGATCCCTGTGGTGATAGCCAACCAACTGATAAAAAGTCACGATCAATGAATTCATCAACAGTTGCCACAAACACAAAAATGACAACCTTTGTATCTGATGTAGAAAACAGAGTGTTTTAACAATATAGGATACTGAACAATTACGTCGTTTCCTTGTTTGAAATGTCCATATTCCAACATCATTCTTTTTGAAACATACTTATTTGATAATCCTTGTTCATATAGTATTTAAAGGAAATGTTCTTGTCATTTTGTTGTTGAGATGCTTATTAATATTATTCAATAAATATTACTGTAAGCAACAAACAAATAGCTTTAAATGTAGAGGTTACATAAGAGAAAAAAAATCTGCTCTCCATAAGGAATGCAGATTGTCTCTTGTAAAATAGGATTTACCTCTACATTTCCTTTTTCTAATTTATCAAATTTTGTAAATTTGAGATGTCATTGGTAATAGGTTATCATAATCTGATAAAAGTTATCATCTGAAGTAGTTTGAAGCAAGAGTTTCAAGACTCTCTAACACATCCATAAAATCTTCATATTCAATACCACTTTCAATAAAACAATTGTGTTTTTTGATATCTACATGTCTTGACCATTTAACAAGAGATTGTACCATCTCACCAACTCCCTGACATGCCCCTAAACTAGCCAGCATATTGACTTGTTCTACAGTAACCTTATAATCTCGYTKATASCCTTCCTCGACCAAACCATTCTTGCTRACAGAAGATGCAAAGATATTAGGGTAAGGAGGAGTGACTGGACATCCTTGATTGACAACCCAGTTTGTATTGACACCCAGAGGGTTATCTGCTTGACTAAATACATTCAACATTTCCAAATATGACTGACAGCTGTCAATCAAACTCTTGGGCTTTTTAGTTGGTTGTGATTGGTTGACCATTGCATTTGCATCAGCCCTCAACACAGCTATTTTTGATATGAATTGATTGACTTGAGACACATTGGGTGTCACTGGCACTAGTAAATGGTTTTCTTTGCAGTTTAAACTAGAATTAAGGATATTATGAAGAGAGTTCTCTGTTCCAACAGGAAGAGGAAAGCTACACGAGGCGCTAGTAATCTTTCTATCACCAAACGTCAGAGCATCAGTTATGTCATTCATACCACATTTTAATAAGGTGTCAAGCCGATATGGAATGGTTAGAGTATCAAGTGTTGATGCTAAAATTGCACTTGTGTGATATGGCAGATCACCCTGAAACAACATTAAAATCAATTAATATTATCAATCCTTAATGGATCACTAAATTGATAACACAGGAATCCCATAATTGACTTACCCTGTAGTCCAAATGAGGAAACACAACTGGGTTCCCTGTGTTAAACCATGCCTGTCTTGCAAGTGATAATGGAGTAAACATGCTACTATGCTCACTGATATGTTTATAAGTTAAGGCCATATTCAACAATCTTTGTGCACTTTTCACATCTGTATTTCCAGGAAAACTGCCAGGAAGAACACCAAACGTTGTAATTGACTTTGAAGAGTATTCATCAGCAAGATCTTCAATGACTTGTGCAGAAAGTCCTGCAAATCCATTATATACATCAGTCAATACCTGAAATAACAATTGTACAGTTGATACATTAAMGAATTATCAAAACGCAGGCTATGTGCTTCATAGGTCTGTATACAAATAACACAATGCCAGTGGTATTTGAGATTTAATGGGTGGCCATTASTCAATTGACTTTACCTGAAAGCCCTGTAGATGATCACATTCTTCTGCGAAAWAGTGYAAATTATTCTCAAATTCATCTTGGAAATCGTCATTTTTATACAACGTTTGTCCATACCCAAASATATCAAAAGCAAAATGATCAGCCTCGTGYGAATATTCCTTGATTATATTAACGCTTTTAGGGTGGTACTGAGTCCCAAGGAAGTCTGACCAGACACGCACATTCTCATCTAAATTATACCATTTTGTTCGAGCTGAAGACTCAGACGAACTCGCAGTAGACATTCCAGAATTGTTSCCAAATATTTCTTCTTCMTCTATATCCATTTGGAACTCGTTCTTTGGCTCTACATTTGACTGATGGACTGAAAGTTCTCCTTCCCACTCCACAGACTTGCTAGATGAGGAGTAAAGTGTTCCTTCTGTGTTCAAGTTTCKTAAACTTCCCTTCAGGTCAAAAACAAGTGCTCTTGGTGTGTATGTTTCGTATCCTTGCTGCGTTTTCCCGACTCGAAACAAACAATCATGGTTGATGTCTGATTTTTTAGACTTCTCTGRGTCATAACTGAAAAGAGACTCTTGGATATTCCAGAAATGCGCACCTACAAAGTTTGAATAATGTCCAAATTGAAGAGAAATGACTTCTCTTGTAGCCGCCATATTGAATTTGCGACGACGYTAYTTGYATAATGCGGCTGTACTMATTTYATATGCGTTGCGCATASGATWTTATGAAGATTGCTGMCCGATWGCAGGCTCAGGTTTAATTTTTCACTAAAAAACTTCTTTTTAAAAAGTTTTTTAAAATATTTCTAATTTGTAATGAATAGTGTTGGCAAAGAATGTAACGATTTAAAGAARGAATATGATTCTTGTTTTAATACATGGTACACAGATCATTTTCTCAAAGGAGATATTYATAATGATCCTTGCAAAGACCTCTTCAAGTCGTACAAGACATGTGTTATGGTAAGGTTGTTGACGATTAGTGCTGGGCAATATTTTATTATCTAACTTATTGTTTACAACTGTGTTGACAGTTCATGTTATTTCTTCAAAAACAGTTCATTTGATAGTTGACCAAATCTGAATTGCACTTTATTGCCTTGTGCATGAAGCTCAATCATCCCAGCGCTTAAAACAAGCAAATCCGAGTTCTTACTTTACACCGTTCCTTCCATGATAAATGATACGGGACCGTTACGAACACTAATCAATGTATTGTTATATAATGACAATATTTATAATGCTGATTAATCTTAGAAAGCTATAAAAGAAAAGAACATAAACATTGAAGAGCTCAACAAAGATGTTCTTGGTACAGAAGAAGAGAAACAATCTCCTCCAAGTAGCTGATAACATGCTAAGTGGACACATGCTTGAATTGTGGGACAGGATAACAGACTTCATGGATTGAAAAGGATCGCATGCTGTGGGTCTGATGAATATTTGGTTGATGAGAAAACCAGAACATTAAGCATAATCCTGATAAGGACTCAACATATTTATTCTTTTATTCCTATTGCTTTGCTGATTGTAAAAAGAACATGTAACTATCAAGCAGCTCCACACTGGCTGGCATATAATGGTAAAAAGCAGTAATTGTAATACGATATTTATGTTATGAATGAGTAATGTGAAAAGACAGA